GCGAGCATAGCGAAGCACTTGGCCCAACATTGGAAATGAGCGTTCAAAATTCACTCATGCCTTCCCATGCGTGTCATGTCTGCACATCAAAGGATGCCCTAGGCCTTCCGTCGGCCTTCCAGGAACTTTCAGCGTGGCCTGGACCAGCTTCACAGCCTTCTGGACTGCCGGAGTGGTCAGTGCTGGGGCGCCTATCATGGCGCTGTTCAGCTTACCCTTTTGGCAAGTGGGCTTCACCATGCTGAAGGACCGCCACAGAACATAAGCCAGGACCTTCCCAGTGACCTTTTTGGGAGTCCCTCTTTAAGTGGGTCGGAAGATCCAGGAGCCACGGGTTCCGTGGACGTGGACGTGTGGACTTGTTGGTGCACCGGGAGCGGGTTCTTGAGAACAGAAGGTGTATGAAGGAACGCACTTCCTGAAATCAAGTGGATGGCGTGGCCTCTTGGACCACACCGCCCGACACCGGTCGACCTTTCGACACGAAACCAAACCGACGAACCTCCGCAGACCCTCCGCTCACCTCCGTGCAACCAGGACACCTTTCAACCGCTGCTCCGCGGCGCTTTGGAGTTGCGGATTTCACCCAGCCGCTGGTCCGTGCGTACCTTGGACCCGCTGCTCAGTGGCCGGAATCGAACAACAGACGCGGAGATTGGTGTCCAACGATCGAAAAGAAGGTTGGATTTTGAAACTAATTGTTTTTGGACCATTTGATTGAACACATTTTAGTGGAGTGTGCAACGGCATATTATGTTTCAAGATTTGAAGATCATGCAATATCATGTACGCACAATATATTTTTTTGGTGGTCAGTGGTGAAAAAGCGATTTGTGCACCTCGCTGAAAGAACTGTTCCAATGTTAACGTGTTTGGTAAGACCTGCAGAACAGACAGAAGAGTAAACTTGGGTAAACCACCTCCTTTCACATTTTGGGAAACCATTGAAAACGGTTCGACTCTCTTTGTATATAAGGACCAACGACATCCAAAGGCGCATCCAATGGCACAATGCCTCGAGGCACACAAATTCTACATGTCAAATGTGCAACTGAGGCGCTTCACTTCGATGTCCAAGGGGACGACGGGACGACTTCTTGTTTCTTTTGTTGGCCCGAAGGTCGTTCGCAATATGGTGGAAGGTCCGTTCACTGGATGGTGGCCCTCCTAGGTCCTAGCCTTAAAAAGGTATGCAAGCCTACCCTGTCGGAGAGTAATTATGTGGATCCATAGGGCCATAGGGCCGGTTGGAGCCATGCCAGTGGTGGTGTGTTTTGCTCCTTGCTCCTTCCAACTGCCCATGGCTTCGTGGGTCGTGGAGAATCCCCCTTTTTGGTTGAGGATTTCATGGGTCTTCCCAGGACGCCATGCCATCCACTGACGCCATGGAAGGAGGGTAAATGTGGTCCGACGCCTTGGTCACCTCTGACGAGTTGGTTGATGATGTTTGCTGACCACTCTGAGGCAAAGTGAACGGGAAGATCTTGGATGAGGGGAAGACTGCAAAGCTCCAGTATTCCATTGAGGGCCCTCAGATGCTTTCTTATAAGACTTCTGAAATTGCGCAAAGGTGTTTGTGTTGTGTTTGTTGTTATTGTTTCAACAATTATGTGTTTTGTGGTGAGCGGTGCTGTCCTTTTTTTGGGGTGGCACATTGGCCACTAAGCTACAAGACATTGGGGTGGTTTCAGGCGCCAATGTAGGCACATATTTTACATATTCCATACATGGAGTGATTGGGACACATGACGCAATGTGCTTTCTGTAAACTGCACCTTGGTGAAGAAAGCACAACGCTATGAATCCAAGAGACCCGTTTAACGAGCACATGTGGATTAATTCAGAACTCGTTTAACCAGATCACTCCAAAGGACTGCTCTCGGATCACTGGATTGTTTTTCACTCTGGCCGACCATCATGTTCTTTAGAGGCTGTAGCTTGTTCAATCCTACACCATAATAAGCTGAACAAAGCCTCATCAAATCTCAACAAGATCATAAATTTGATCGTTCTAATTCTAATTACTTATATAAGCATGATTAGACAACCGCGACAACCTGTCCCAAGTGCACAAGCATACATGCCTTGAAAGAAGGAAACCCTGACACAACACCAGCAAACCTCAGGACGTACCTGAAAGTACTTTCCCAAGTGGTAAGCAGGTTCAAGCACGGTGTTTCACGGGTGGTTTGAGGTAAAGTGCTAGTTTTCACAGTCTCGCAGCAAGGTTTCGAAGTTGCATGAAGTCTCTAATCAAAGTAGGTGATTACTTTGACAAAAGCAGGCTGAGGTCGGCAAATGTTCACTCCATGATCGTGCATGATAGAGCAAAATTGGTTTTCCCAAACACCTGTATGAGGCGTCCCTCACAAATTGTTCCAAGAAAAGTCAAGTGACCTGACTGGGATACCTATTGGGTAGTCTCTAATTAGATAGATGTCTTTTTGTTGGGTTCTTCAACCTTTGGAACGACAAATGTCCAACACCCTGAGTGGCTGATTCATTGAGATACATCGAGCCACCGTGCATGTATATTGGTATTGTCGCCGGATATGACAGGCAAACTGCAGCGATCATACACAAAAGGTTAAAACAAATGTGCAGAACCCGGACAGAATTTGGACCAACTTCCGAAACAATATCGCTGCCCATGACACTGATAACTTTGTGAGACGAAGCTTGCCAGATGAAATAACATGCTCCCGACAATCACAAGAAACAGTTCTGGGAACATATAGAATACTATAGTTTGTCCATGGATCAAGCCCAATAGCTCAACCGCGTGACACAAAGATCAGCCTGATAGAGTCGCCTCGAGGATGGGTCAAAACTATTTGGTGCTCTCTGAAGGCATCCAAGCTCCTTTGAAGCAAGGGGGGCCTCACAGATATGGAGCCTTGGATGAGATTTGGCCCTTATGGTCCGTTACCTCCAAACCGACGGTCGCAGAGCAAACGGAACCTGGATTGATGAAATGGTCGGAGGTTCCTTTCCTTTGGTATGTGTTCGCTGGTTTGCATTTTTTGTTGCCCTATTCTTTGCTTCTTTGTATTCTTGTTCTTCTCATACACTGGTGGTGCATCCATGCACATAGAAATGATATGCGTTGCTTCTAGTAGTTTGTATAGATGCACGTGTATGTTTGTTTTGTTTGCCTCTCCAAGGGTACTGCCTGCATAACCATATATATATATGATATTTACATATATATATATCTCTTATAGATATACATAGTAGATGGAAAGGGGGGAGAAGTTACCATCAGTGGTTCAAGAAACCTTTCCACTTGGCCCATTCGAAGTGGATGAGCATCTGGAGTTCTTGCAGAATCAGCCTATCGATTTGGTACAGCCTCGCCGGGCCAAGCTGAGGAGGCCGAGTGGTTGGAAGCCTTGATCGCCCAATATGTGCAAAGAGAATCGGATATCTCCTTTGACTCCGATTTGGAGTGATGAACAAGTTGGATTTGGCTTCTTGATCCATTGATTTTGAGGTTTGGATAGATTCATAGCATTCAGGGTGCAATGGCGGAGAACAGCGCCGGCCCGCCAGCAGAAGCCAAGCGGGCAGACAAGCATGAAGTGCTGTGAAGTGCTCGGACCTCGGAAAAGGAACGCAACAGCGTGGTGCCGTTCTGGGAATTGGACTACACTCTGACTCACTAAAAAAATGGTCCCCTGGAAGACTACTTTCCTTCGGAAACAGGCGGTGTTCCACTTCCATGTTGGTGAGTCGGAGTGTACTATCATCGGATCGTTTTTTGTTACATGGAGAACCCGTTGAGATGGAGGTATGTGACATGCAGTTGTCCGTCCAATATTCTACTTTACAGTAGGATTATTTACCAGGCTACCGCCTGCAGCCGCCGACCCCCAAGGGATAGAACCTTAGCGCTAGCCTTGCTCTATGTTAGCCTTAGCCTTAAGCCTTAGCCTTAAGAGTGCAGACCCAACCCAGCACCACCAAAGCAGGTACCCAAAAAGTCGACTTTTTGGGTACCTCCCAGATTTACCATCGGACGTCAGCTCTTGCATGAACCCCGATCATTGCCCAAGAATTTAGACCCAACCCTTCACCACCAAAGCAGGTACCCAAAAAGTCGACTTTTTGGGTACCTCCCAGGTTTACCAATTTAGACCCAACCCAGCACCACCAAAGCAGGTACCCAAAAAGACAAAGCCTAGAGCACTCCTAGGAAAATGCCAGAAAAGCCTTTGAAAATCTCATAAGCCAACAGAGAACGTGACAAAATCTACGAAAAAGCAAGGGCATTGGCCGGGACCATGCCGCGACCAGCCCGGGATTCGAGCCCAGGACCATTTTGGACCGTGCTTATTTTCCCGCGCGGGTCGAGAGGGTGCCCCAAGATGTAAATCAATTGGGATGGCAGATTCTTGGACAATCCAGGTCGCTTTCCCGGCAGGATTTCGTCACTCCAACAAGGGTCCGGAGGGGTAGGGGAGGTAAGGTCTAGGTCTAGGTCTAAGGCTAAGGACTAGGTCTAAGGTCTAAGGCTAAGGCTAAGGCTTAAGGCTAAGGCTAACATCGACAGTCACGCCTCACCCCACGGTGTGGGGTCGGCGGATTTTTGTTGGGATTCAAGTTGAAACAGCCGGAAGGGATTCTGCCAGCAGCCTTGCCGGGCCAGAAAGCATCATACTTGACATACTTGTACCTCCTGCAATCCCCTTGGGCGGTGGTTTATGGGTTAACAAAGGCACCATAACTCCTGTGGAAATCCAGAACAAGCACCTGGATCCACCAACTCTACTGTCAATACCGACCTTGTCATTCTGTTTCTTGGTTGGTCTAGGAAATTCCTTTCTCAACACAAACATGTTAGGACAAGCCCTGCTGTTTGGCGCCCTGTGCCTACTTGGCGCCCTGTTGCCGCCGGGATTGTCATCAGGGGCTGTTGTTGCAGAACGCACTCACATTGCCGCCGGCGTCGTTCTGGATGTCATTGATCAGTGAACTGTCGTCCACCGGCCTCACCTAAGGAGCCGGTGAAATGCTCCAAGGACCCATGAGAACGGGGTCGTGCGGCGCTGAGCGGCGGTCGGGAACTTTTCCATGGAGGTGGAAGTGACGGATGATGAAGGTCTTCCGATTCGATCAAGGCATCATACAGAACTCCCGCCTATGGGTTTTTAGTCGACCTAGTAGTAGTAGTAGTAGCAGTAGTAGTAGTAGTACAGGGTCTAGAGGGACCCTAGAGTATCCTAGCCGTTTTGAGCCTATGCTTGGGACTTTGAAAAGGGAAGACCTTGCAAAAATGCCAGCTGCGCATTTAGTGTATTACTATGATTCTCTATCAGTCTCTTTCTTGTACTGATGGGCCTGGTCTATTTTGTGGGTTTTAGCTGGACGCATTGCAGAGGAAGCAGCTGGACCATGAGATTGATGTACCGCCTCAGCTGGACCATGCTAGAACCAGGAAAGCTCGATCGACCTTGCACCCACTTCTTAGCCACGTCGACTAGGGGGTCGAGACTGCCTTTCGCACAAATGTATATACTTCTTCAATCTTCTTCATATTGGCACACTTATAGCGGTTGCAGTTAGCACCTTGGCGCATGCCCGGCCCGGCCCGAATAAGCCCGCGATCCCGCGCTGCGTCGTTGGAGCGCAGGAGCTGGTGATGATGGCCGTCCGCAGTAGAGGCGGTCGATTTGCCGGACTGTTCAGGAGATTCCCACTGAACTGCAAACTCACTAACATATATGCGCTATGGATCCACATACCTTCTGAGAAGCTAATTGGACCCTCCAAGCCTACATAAATAGTCTCCAATCACCTTCTCAGAAGGTATGTGGATCCATAGGGATGGTTGATGAACCCAATATACACCAACTGGTTGAGAACCATATGTACACCAACTAGTGTGGTTATACACCAGTGTTACCCAACTGGTTGATGAACCCTTGGCTGGGCAAAGAGATGTTTGACGCATGGATGTTCTCCAGTTGCCTGCCTGATGGGCACGTGTTTTCTCCCAGACCAGTTTTGTCACCTTCCTTTCGCCGAAATGGAGATCTAATGAACATTCTTTGGAGCTTCCAAGATCTTGGTCAATGGATTTGGGGGGGTGGTCAAGTTCCGCGCAGACTCCAGTCCAAAGGGCCTAAGGGCTTCTTTGTATCCTCGTAGCTGGGATAGAGGTTTTCAGCAGGGTTTACAAGTTTACACGCAGGAGTTGTGCATAATGAATTTGTTTAGCCCCATCAATTGCTCGCAGCCAGGTATTTTTCACTTCATTTGCTATCTTGTCAGGCGCCGCATTGCAACATGCTGCACCTGAACTTCGCAGAGATAGAGAGGTGGCTGAAGAAGATTTGTGGTTGATACGATTCACTGGGCTCAACAACGCGCTGGGAGTTCAAAAGGTTTGCCATGATAATATGTGCTTAAAGATATTCAAAGTATTTTAAAGTGCTTTTCTTCAGCATGATGCAGGTAATGTAAACCCCGGATGAACAGCTCCCCCCCCACATGGTAGGTCAACAAGGACAAGAAGATATGAGATACCATTCATGAAGTCCACCTCCCCTGAATAATGTGCTATGAGACCATTGGACCATGAAGGATGATCCCACGGGCAAGCCATGAGCAAAGACTCAGACCTCCTTGATGAGCTGAACAATAGAGATGAGCAGCATGAGGTGGGAGTTGCTGCAGTTAATTGATAGACCTCCCTTAGTTAATGAATTAAACATGAAATAGCTATTTTTTTCGGGGCTGTATGGGCTCAGATTAGCTGGGGGGGGGGGCTTCTAGGGCCAACTAAGTGATTCAGGTGGGAAATAAGCCACCAACACTACTAGTTTTAATCGGCAATTTTCCGGTGCTTTGTGGGCTCGGATTAACTACAAAAAGCTTATCAATCCTAGGTTGGCATTGGATTAGACAGGAAGCAGGTGATATCAGGTTGTCACAATCACTGCAACTGGTTGGCGGCAGAATGTCACCATCTTTCGTACGTCAGTCCCTGTTTACCATCATGCGTCCATGCTTAGACTGCCTGGAGTAGAGATTGCCCTGACAAGCTGCATTTTTTGCCCCTTGAAACGCGCTCCAAATGGTATTGGTTCTGCTGTATTCTGATATGTTCTGACGCTTACTGTAGAAATAGGTGCTTGGACATAGAGGACGCCAATTGATTAGTTTGGACTTCTTTGGGGCTGTTTCATTATGCCTACAGCACATTCTTGCAGATTGCTTCGGCCTGGTATGGTGAAAAAGACTGCCAACAACCGTGCTCTACAGAATTCTGCGTCTCCCCCAGCGGACTGTAGAGCTGATAATTGCTTGCGGCACCCTTTTTGTCCCAATTAGACATGGCGTTGGGCCAAATCCTGAAGCCTCACCAGTCCATCATGATAACCAAGGCAACCTCTCGGATGAAAAATTGTTTTCCACAAGTGGGTTCAAGTCCCACTTTGGTAAGGACAAAACAAGTTACTCTAGAGCTTCCGGCGGCTCAGGTGGTCTTAGAGGCGGTGCTCTCCAACTGCGACGCGCTGCAGTATGCCAGTGCCGAGCTGCAGGTGGGTCAGGTCTTTTTCCCAATGAGGTCACTGGCGGATCACATGGGCTCGGGCCTTCCTCTTCAGCCGCAGATTGTCATGTTCTTTTTTAGCTGCACACAGGCCTTCCATGGCCTTCCTCTCCAGCTTGTTAGCCTAGCTCTAGCCCTTAAAGAGTGTCCACTTCACCGTGGCCCTCTACACTGAGTCTACCGCCGGAAGGCCCAATTCGTTGACTTGTGGTTCAGGCCCAAGCCTTTTGTAGGCTAGGCTTGCATGGTCTTTTCATTGAAAGTCACCAACAAAATCCAAGAAATGTGTCGTTAAGGTTTTGATCGCAGTTGGTGTTCCATGTTTGTTCTCAAATTGTCCATTTTGGCTGCCCTAAGCTAGTCAACACGTTGGTTTGATCTATATTTGGAGTGGGTTTGTTGGACGGGGACTCATTAAGCCACCATGAACCACCCTTAACAGGGAACAGAGTCTGATGGACCTGCAGGGTGCAGGGTCTTTGTCCAGGTCAGCTTCGATCGGGAGATCATGATGGCCGCGGTGTCGCGTTTTAGCTGCAAAGAACATCCTTGGTGGGTTCTGTGACTTGCAGCCGCTACTAAGGAGCTTGGGAGGTGATTGAAGGGCTTGGGTTTTGTTGATGCTTGCAGTCCAAGTTTGGCCATCTATGGCACCTAGCGGAAAAAAAACTGACATGCAGTCACGTGCAGGTATTTTACCATTGCTCATCCGGAGCCCACTGCATGTAATTCTACATCTCCTCTTAGCGTTCTTTCGTTCCCATGTTTGCTGGCATCCTTCCACCACCTAGACGTCTCGGCCGGTTTCGCAACGAAGACGTGGATCCTTTAGGGCCAAATACCAGCTAACAAGCACTGGATCACTGATGTCGTCGGATGGTGTGCCACTGGTGTTGGACTGGATGGCATTTCCCCACTTCGCCCACCATTCGCCACAGCGGAAGCATCCACGGCTGGGACTGGGTGAGGCAAGATGGGCACATGCTGATGTATGCTGCCGAGCCGCTGCGGCACGGAGCTCAGGTCTATGCTTCTATTGATTCTACAGATCTCCGCAGTGCTGGGTGGGGCAGTGGCCAAGAGTGGTGTCGCCAGATAGATGCATAGACGGATATTTAATGATATGTATAAACCACACACACAAAAATACTATATTTGGT